AAAAAAAAACAAATAAATAAATAAAAGTATACAATGATATCAGAAAATATCATGGTTTATCATGCCCATCTTCAGTGTTTAAGTTAGCCTATCTATATGAGGTGAATAAAGTTTCTACAGAAAAATATATGTGGTATAATTACTTTATACATTAAGTCCCATTCGTAATACTCCAGCAAGCAACAAACTTCACCTCACCTGCTGCTTAAGCAATAGTCTAATGGAGAGAAATCATACAATCCCAAAACAACCTATCTCTCCCACCTATAAATTCTTAAATGGCAAATTAAACATCACACTAAGGAAATTTTTGTTATCAAGTGTAGCTTTTACTCAAAAGCTTGTTTCAAAAAAGCTCCAATATCCTATAACCAGAATAAAGCTAATTCAATTTACCTACCATATTATAAATTGCATTAATTTTCATATTTTTTTTAACTTCTGGGAGAAATTTAGAGATTTTTTTTAACTTATTCTACTTAAGAACAGTACCTTATTTTTGCATTTTTATTAGCATATTTTTGCAATATACAGTAAATACATTAATCACTTTCATTTTTATGTATTTTATTTTTTATTCATACTTATTTACAGTTCATATAGTTTAGTCACTGTGGGGAAGTTGCATGTATCATAGCATGTTCTTCTTTCCCACATATCATGTGCATGTATTATAGCATGTTTCTTTTTTTAATCCCCTTTCCCGTCTTTCCCCCCTCCCTCCCTCCTTCAGCTACCCTATCCCATTTATCATTCTTGTTGATATTGTCTTAGCCCATATTACAGCATATAATGTTCACATTAACTGGACTTATCAGGTTCCCTTATATGACATATCTTTCTTCTTATTTCCCCTTCCCCTCCTCCTCTCCCTCATCCTTTTTTCCTTACCATAAAACATTAGAGGAAACTAGTACAAACACATATAGTATCTTGTTCCACTGTACTTCCCTCTCCCCTCTTTCCAATCCCAACCTCCTTCCCATCCTTTCAAAGAACCTACTTTGATTCACTGATCTCTTTTCTTTTTACTCTCAATTTCATTAATTTCAACTCTGACATTTACAATTTCTTTTGTTCTATTAGTTTGAGATTTGGATTGATCTCATCTTTCTTTGACCATCCTCAAAAGACACTCCTTTCCTACTTGGTAAGTACATTCTTAGCAATATTTTCTGCAACGAGCCAGGAGCTGACCCACTTTCAAAAGTAGATCCAAATGAACAATTCAATTTTAATACACTCCTCAGAAATGTAAGTCAAAATTTCATGGGAGAGCTATGTGTTTTGTTTGTTTGTTTGTTTGGCGGAACCAGGGATTGAACTCAGGCCCTTGCACTTGCCAGGCAAGTGCTTATTCCACTGAGCTATCTCCCCGGGCCAAGTCAAAATTTCAGATATTTCAAACATGGTTCTTAGTGAGAAATGGAAAAGAGAAGGGTAGGGACAGATTTATTAATTAGAATGATAAAACAGTATGTGCCTTCTTTATTTCCATATTTATAGTTACAATTTTTATGCAAAAAGAAAACTAATATATTTTAACTTACAAGCTCTTAAATCCTCATGAATATACTAGTAAAATTATACTCTCTTGGGGCATATATGAACTATGATAAACATCTACCCCTAAGGAAATAATCGGGTAGATACAACTCCCATTGAGTTATACAGGATGTGACTTTAGGCCTTTAGTTGTGGTAAAAGGTACAGTTAGGGGATGAGGAACAAGGAGACACTTTCATCCGCCTTAGCATTTATTTGTGGCCCCTAAGTGAGCTGTGTCACTACTTCCTTGTTTATAAATTTTCCTTCAGAATATAGACAATATATTTCCTACTTATATAGCAATGTTTTAAACAATAATGTTGAATAGGTTATCATTTACAATATAATAAAATTTACAGAAAAATTTTGTTATAACATGCTTAACCACCCTCCTTCAGTCAAAATAAAAGCAATGGAAACAGTATAGAGCTCTTTATGATAAATATACAACCCAAAATGAGATCAATAGCTAAGCCTCATTAGTTCAACTAAAACCCAATGGGGAAATTTCAAGAACTAACTAGAAGTCTTTACTATGCTCATTCCATACGTGTAAGTAAAATATCGTGTGAAACTACTATATATGTGAGTGGTTTGGGTTTGTTTTTTTTTAAGGAGATCATAGCCAAGTAACTTCCAATTTGGGCAGTTCTGATGAAGGACATTATTCAAAGTGGGTGAATTAGCGTCATAAAGAAAATGATGATTTCTATTATATTTCTACTGGAAATTCATCCCAGTAAAATTTAGGACAAACATATAACTTTTTTTTTTTTTTGCTTGCCAAACTTTTAGTATTTGAGGAATAATAAAGAGAACAGAAGCCCAAGAAGATGAACTTTGCTGGAGTCAACACAAAAGATGTTTTTCTCTGGAAAAAATTACTTTTCTTCGAGAAAAGAAACCTGTTTAATTCCTGTGCTTCAGTTTATTTCCTAGACTCTTATAACAAGAGCTTAACACAGAAGCAGTTGCTTGATGAATAAGTTTATTGGGCTTTATCTGAAAAATCTTCATAGAAATTTGGTTTAACTCTCAGCAGCACACTCCCGAGCTCTAAGGAAACTTGCCTTCTTTTGAGCTACCCGATCTTTCTTCTGGGCAAGGGACATTTTGGGACGGTTCCACCTCTTCTTTTTAACTTCTCTCTTCGGCTTCTTTTCATAAACTGGATTCTCTCATATAGCAGCATGAGCTTTCTTATATATCTCCTCCATCATGTCTGGAGTTACATTGTTCTTTATGTTCTGAGAGAACTGTTTCTTGCAAGCATCTTCATCTTCTTCCATTAGGTAGCGCGTATAGTCTGCGACATTCTGACCCATGATGTGCTTCTGATGTACTTGTGCATTAAACTCCTTGCTTTCAGAATCATAACCAGGGAATCGTTTGGCACTGTGAGAGATAGACAAGCCTCCATCCACACCACCCTTTAGGGCTCAAAAAACTTTATTGCCAGTTGTAGTTCTGGCGAGGCCTGCATCCAAGTAGCAGGCGAAGGCACCAGGCTTGCCATCAATGCTTTCCACACTGTATTCATCCCAGTCACCTCCACCTGGCCTTATAGATCTTATCCATGCCAAACCTACTGAGAAGCCTGCGGGTCACCAGCAGGCCAGTACAATACTGCAGCATAATTTGTTAGGCCAACCTTCACACCATACTTAGGTAGTTCATGTGCATATGCTGCACAGACTATCATATCCCCTTCCATACGGGCATAAGCAATCTGACAAATGATATCTGTTAGTTACACAAACTATCATCCTGTATTTAGGTGTGTTGTAACTTATTTTTGTCCTATATTACCAAGCATTTCCTAGCATAGTAATCAGTTTTGCCCTCTTGTCATCTTCTAAATTTCACTTGGTATCTCTTAAAGTAGGCCTTATTCTTGACAACCTTAACAAAACCCATCCTGTGTAATATAGACTCGCGTCCGCAGCTCTACACAGACCTGCAGGCCAAGCAACACCACAGGGGGAAAAAGCTCTGTAACATTTAAAATGCTGTTTAAAACATACTTATTAAAGTACTGAATTTTCCCAGTGTTATATTTTAGTTCTCAAAGTTGGGATGGAAATAATAAATTTAGGCTCCAGACTGAATTACTTTAAAACAAAGTTCAGCAAATTATGTAACAAAACGTTATTGTCACTCACAAAAACACAACCCAAAAAATAATTTATATTAATTAAAGAATATCTTGCTTTTTATAGTGGGAATTCTTACTTTTGTTCCATTTCACTTAAGAAACTCAAAAAGATCTTGTTTTTCTGACTTTGCACACTAAAATCATGTGACCTTTTTGACATTTTTTAAGAAACCACATGCACCTGGGGTTGTGTTAAATGTCAGACCTTTATCACTCAGTAAAACAAATTATCTAAATTCTTTCAACCTGTTGAAGGCATTTTAAACCACAGAAGAGACAAAAATGTATTTCAAATGTTTTAAGGAAGTACCTGGTCAAACAGACCATGTTTTTTACATTCATACTATCTAAAAGTATCCTCTACAACTCTTGTTTTGACAACTGCGTTTAAGACAAACTTTTCACTATTATAATGAAGCACTAGCTATCTTTGCCTTGAACGTAAGTCTATATTGAATGAATATAAGTACTTACAATAAAGCCTAGCACTAAATGAGCACTTTTAACCACTACTACTAAAAATAACTTTGTAATACAACAACCAACCATTAGCTTAGCATTGCTCATGACAGCAGGCATTCGTTTTGTTGTTTTTTTACCAAATCATTAAAAATCAAAAACTAAGATTTCCCTTTCAGTCTATCTGTAGAAGATAGAGCACCATACACGTAACAGATAATTATAGTTAATTTATTCCAAAAGGGCTACTTTAAGGTTATATGCAATACTGAGGTAGAACAAGAAAAAGCTTAAAGGTATTTTGTTTCTTTAGCTTTTTTAGATGCGCAGCCATCTCTTCTTCAGAGGCCTCCATTTTCCCCACAGTCACTCATTTTCACCTTTATCTGACTCCCAA